GAAAAACGCGCAGAAGGCACTATTTGAATGGAGTAGAAGTGCCTTCTTGCTATGTACCAGAGTGATCAAACGAAGTCCGCAGCTTGTGTTTGCGGTGCTGAAGACATCGTAAGACGTGTGAGGAGGGCAGTAAATACCAACACACTGTATGAGGGACTAGCAGCATGGGTGGTGTAAGAGGGTGCCAAAGGGTCTCCATACTCGTATACAAATCGGAAAAGATTTTTTTATGCCGTATTGCCTCACATTTGCAAAGAAATTATCGCGCATAAGAATGCATTCCCTATGGTTTGTTACAGAGTGGGCAGACTGCACGCAAGATGGGTTAACTACGCCCGTCTAAACTGCTATGATCGTGGTGGCGTGCTCACAAATGATTTCATGAGGGCAATGCAGACGGGTCCAGTAATGTCAGCATGAAAGTACAGACACAACTACTACGCCATGGCTCAACAGATAGACACTAAGGAAGTGGGAACATGGACAGAACGGGATAGTAGACAAAGTGGTAAGGAGCAGGCAGGTTATTCCACTTCAATCTAAACGTGGTGTATGGTTAGGCCGTCATGCAAAGGTCAGGCGCTTTTGCATCTATTTGAGACGGCATACATGGGTTTGTCATTTTTCAAGCGAAATAATATTAGTTTATTCACCCCAATGCTACTTAATAGAATCCGTTTCCCTCGTAACATTCGCAGATGGAAGATTAAAGTACCGTTATGTAGTTTTGAAGAAAAAAAGAAGGCAGTAGTATTCGCCCACCTTGGTGTGGCTTGGTAGTCTCTTCAATGAATTGGAATTTAGCCTCGGCCTCCGCAATGGGTTTAGTGTTGACGAGGTCGGCGAAGAGGAGGAAAGGTGTGGAGGCAGTTCAGGCGCTCTTCACAGCACCTGAGGCGGCCAGTCAGAAGAGCGTGCACCTCCACCATCGACTCGCTGCCGCTGAGTAGAGAGAGGGTGTGTTCACGATATGCCAAATCCATCACCGACTTTTTCTGCTCCGGTGCGCAGTAATTGACTTACTACTGCCTTGAGAATCTAAAAAGTGGTCACCTTTAATATTTTAAATAGTGAAAAAACTGTGGGAATCACATTTTAACTAATTTTATCAAGGTTGGAGGTACTAGGTTTTTGGCAAAGTAAATCAATTTCAATGTAGATGTGAGTACTTTTTTCTTTTCTTTATGTTGCTACATGCAATAGCTCAGCGTTGATTCTCTGCGTAAAAAATCAAGGTGCCATATTAGGTACGAGTAAAGAAATTTTGCTGAAAAAATGTTAGTTGCTCATCTCAAAAACATATAATTTTTAAGATCGCCTTACTACTTCTAAAAGCTATACTTTTCATTATTTTGCGAGATATTCAACACCGAAACTGCAAATATGCTGCTTTAAATCCTATGACGTTTGGACAATAGGAATTTATAGTGAAATTCTAGAAGCAACGTAACAAAAAGACTTGAAAATTGTTATGTATTTTCTAGGTTTCATACCACTCGTTTTGCAAAATTTATCATTGGATAATGATCTAAATAAAGCGGCGACCTTGACTGCGCCTCTTTTGAACTCATTCAGCGTATCAACTTTCTGCTCACTTTTGATGCACAGAATTTTTGGTTTCTTAATCTTCTTACACTTTATTTGCATGACAAATGGGAGGCATAGTCTAGTTCATGTTCATGCACTCTTCCGGCATGGTGACAGAGCGTCCATTAGACCGCATATTTTCGATGGATATGATCCCCACAAAGTGTGGCCTGACGGACTAGGTCAACTGACTCAAGAGGGCATCGAACAGCTCTTTCTACTAGGAAAGTGGCTGAGAAGCAAATATGGCCATTTTATTGGAGAAAACTACAATGTCTCTACTTTCCATATGCGCAGTACGGATGTGGACCGTTCTTTGATGTCGGCAGAAGCAATGATGGCCGGTTTTTTTCACCGGTCAAACACCTCACTTAGTAAATATGGATTACACTGGCGTCCTGTTCCAACTCATACCATGCCTACAGTAGGTTTGACCTTTTGTTCTTAATTGGTCTTGTAAAATATGTTTATTGCCTAATTTATCCATTTAACTTTATATGGACTCAATTAGGCAGTTAAAACTGAACATTTCTTAAATAGCCACTAGTGATGCGGTTGATTAAACCAATTGAACTGGTGATGATAAATAGATTCTTTTTTTTACTCTGAAGACATCAGATACGCTGTTATCAGTTGAACCATGCCCACGCTTGGGTCAGCGACGAGATGAGATTCTTAGATCAAAAGAAGGAGTCATTTTGTTTAAACAGCACAAAGCGACAATAGAACTTGTGGGTACAGCTTTCGGAATCAAAAATGTCACCTTGATGGATGTGTGGAGAGTCAGTGATGACCTCTTCTGCCTGAGATCCCACAATGCCACTCTCCCAAAATGGTACACACAAGACGTGGTCAAAGAACTTGACTCACTAAACGATCGGCTTTTCTGGGTAAGTCTATGTACAACACTATGGGAGTCTAAATTGACCTTTCACTTATTTTTGTGGGCAATGTCACGCGAGACGTTTTACTTGCTTGCATTTCATCTTTGAAACCGACACATAATCGACAGGTCTCTTCTTAGTGAATGTTTCCTTTACTTGGATGAGAGGTCCGTTGAACGCTTTTGATATGCACACATCCGTTTTAGGTTCAGTTTACAATGAAAGATGCATGCTATCAACTGATGTACTGCCACTTTTACTCGCATTTGTAGGTTTCAGTTTCTTGCTCTAGTTTTGGATAACTTTGATAGAAAGCCTGCATCGGTGTCTTCGGCTTTGTCTTTGGCTCTTGTTCATGAAACCGTCATGACAGTCCTATAAACTTACAAAGGTTTTGATATGCAAATACCATTCTTGACAAGCAATTGATTAGCACCAAAGGTCAAGTAATTAACGTTGTGTGGGAAGAAGCATGTGTATTTACACGAATAATGGGATTGTTCTCACGGTAAATGAACGAAACTATTTGCCTGAAAAGTAGTATTTTTAATTTAAAGCGATTTGATTTAATGCAAAAGGATAGTTTGATTGCCGTGCCTAGTTCAGATCAGAGCAGGTGGGTAGTCTTTCCCTGGATGAAAGGCATTTTGTCGTCAACCTGAGTAACGCCCCTGGCAAAACTTTAAAAGGAATTTTCCCTTTTTCTCTACACCTTTTAATTGAAAAATGGAAGATTTGAAGTCCCAAAATTGGATATCTGACTTTTGTATAAAATCATGACTACCAACCAGTTAGTTAAGTTTTTG